GGGGGGGGTGGAGGTCGGTCGCTGTTCGTCGGGAGCGCGCCTGCTGCTCGCGCTCGTTTCTTTTCATTCAGCAGAGCGGAGCGAGGAAGAGAAGCATTTTCAGGTCTGTATGAAATCCTTCCACATCTTTTATCTATTTCTCTCAGATCAGCTGATTTATTGTTAACAGGACTCACACCCAGCCTCGGGTCACATGGGGGGGTTACCCTCTGAAACTTTATTCTGATTCTGTTTTTATGCTTTAAAATCTGCTTTACACGCTGTCAGTGTGTTTAATCTGTAGGATCAGAGACTCTCTGTGTGTTTCTGTGTTTCTGTCTCTGCTGCTGAGCTTTGATTTCTTAACATGAGGTTCAGGGGTTGAAATCAGGGGCCAAAAGTCTCAGAGGAAGGTTAATGCTTCATTTTTAATCTGCTGTGGAGGCAGAGAGGTCTCAGCTATACAGGCAGCAGTCGCTAAAAGATGCTCGGAAATATCTGATCTGCTGCACCAAGTAGTGACAGGAAAACAAGGAATTGATCTGAACTTATTTGTTATTTTTATTTCTTCTTCACTGCATTTGTATCACAGCTTTATTAAAATTACGTTTTTTTGTGAACAAAATGTGAAACGTGAAAAAATTGATCATGTGTCAGCTGATATATTCACTTTATTTTTAAGACAAAATTTTCCGTTTAAATTTTTCTCTTTTTAAATATTTTGTATTATTGTTTCTCGGTATTATCATTATGTTATCATATAATCATCATGCTCCAGTCAGATCCTAAACATTAAAGCTACTTTTTGTAATTACCATCCGGAAAATACAACTCACATTGTCACCAGCAGGGAGCAGCACTTAGCCAGCGAGTTTGTTAAAATGTCACCTTTTAGTCTTTTTCTAAACAGTGTTGCCTTTTCTCAGCTCACCATCGTAAATCAACACTTAAATGACTTAGACTCACAAGCTGGTCTTACAATGAAGTATATTTAGTCTAAAATACAACCCATGTCTGTTCATCCTTTGTCCAGTATATCCACACCCCCTCCTCTGCACATGCTCAGACCACCTCCACCTCTCTGACTCTGAGCTGTCCCTCTGATGGACTCAGGTCCATCCTGCTCACCGAACGTCTGAACATCTTCAGCTCGACTCCACCGTCTCCAACCATCACAGCAGGCAAGCGACCGTAGTCATGAATACGTTTATAACTAAAGTTTTGGGACATGCAAATGGTTCCACAGGGGTCTATTCGTTATTATTTTTAATAATAATAATTATATTATTATATTATATTGATATTATATTATTATTATTAAAAATAAACATTAAATCTGTTAAAAATATATATATATACTGAAATTATTATGAGCACTAAAACATTAAGCAGACGTTAAAGCAGTGCAGTTTAATGTTGTGTTTTTATAATGACATATTGCATGAAAGCTTTTTAAACTGTCTGTTTCTCAGCGATGTAAGCTCCCGAGTCTGTTTAAAAGTATATGAATCAATAATCTGTGAAACATTTTAAAACAACAACGGCAGGAAAGACTCGTCCCCACAGGACACGGCGTGCTGCGCTAAAGGGTTAACGATGATGTGAGCAGCAGCTCCTTGCAGCACAAAGAACAATCAGGAGGCAGGTTGGTGAGAAGCTCCTGCGTCGAGTTTTCAGAGCTGAGATGCAACATTCCCCAGCCTGCAGGCGAATCTGACGACTGCTGCACACCAAACATCCAGCCTCACCCCGAGCGGCCAACGACACGCTCCATCTGCAGCAAACACGCAGGGAAAGAAGCCATCAGCGGTCATGGCAGTAATGGCTTTAGAAACACAGGCTGGCCTGAAGGGTGCGCTCTGTTATATGCATTTATGCTCCCAAACCACTTCCTGTTAATATCACTGTACAGGAACCTGCTATAATTCAGCTGCATGTGCAGCAGGGGGCGCTGTTCCTAGACAAAAACATTTTATTTTAGTTTGTGTAAATTTTCTCACGCTGTCCACAAAACCCCAGCGTTCTGCTAGTGCGTGCCGATTGGTCAGTTAATGATGTAGGACAGGGCGTTGCCATGATGGTGGTTTCCAAAAGATCGTTAATATGTTACCTCTGAACTATAGCCACTGACTCAAACCCTCCTATTAAAAAATATACAGAAGACAAAAATGTTTGCCCCGTTCAGTCTGGATGAACTCGAGAGCGCCCCCTGCGGTGAGAAGCTCTGTGTTTGTGAGTCTGTGAGGACTAGCATTAGCCTCAACTGGCCGTTAGAGGAACTGCATCTTTTGGTGGGTCCACTTTTAGTCACTGCCAACCGCTAACCGTCAACCTTTTTATTACTGCAACCATGACAACCTCTAGTTAGGGTCCTCGCTTCTCTGACCTGAGAACAGAGGTGGGCTTCACGACAGCGACCAGTCATAGAAAGGTGTTTTTGATCGGTTCAAACGTGAACTTTGGCCCCTCCCAAATTTCAAAGGTTAACCCTTGCCTTGTTGTCCCGTCCCTGCAGGCGCAGCATTGCGAGCATGCTGACCTGATCCAAAATGTGCACCTCGACCAACAGCAGCTCAGCGCTGGTGGGCGTCTTCCCAGATTACGGGATTTCCCCAGACGAGATCCTGGACACCACGCAGGGGCGGGCCTTCTTTGTGGCCACCATAGTCATTGGCGTGGTGCTGGTGGGCATCATGCTGGTGTGCGGCGTGGGGAACTGCCTCTTCATCACCAGCCTCGCCCGCTACAAGCAGCTCAGAAACCTGACCAACCTGCTCATCGCCAACCTAGCCGTGTCGGACGTGCTGGTGGCAGCGATCTGCTGTCCCTTCCTGCTAGACTACTACGTGGTGAAGCAGCTGTCGTGGGAGCACGGCCTGCTGCTCTGTGCCTCCACCAACTACCTGCGCACCGTCTCGCTCTACGTGTCCACAAACGCTCTCCTGGCCATCGCCGTGGACAGGTGGGTTCACCTCCGGGAACACAAGCAGACAACACAGAGCCTCTGTTTGTGCTTCGGCTGGTTTGGCGTGTAAATGTTCCGTGTGAGAACATCCTGGGTAACGGCCGTTCGGTTTATAATATTGCTGAATCTCTGCCACAGCGTCAGCACTTAGAGCTGCCCCTCAGTGGGCTTCCAGAAGCTGCCCAACCAGAGGAAAACTGACTTACCCAGAGGGAGGTCTGAGAGTAGGAGGAGCTAAAAAGGTAGTGAGAGGCTCCGTAAAGGCCAGGATGTTTTATTACAGAATAGAAGTATGGAACAGAAAAGTCCACTCCTCTTTGAAATGATTGGTAATTATTGCTGATGTTCATGGTTTGGTCCTCTGAAACAACCATCAGGATCCTACCAGGATGGACGTCCTTACAGGTGATCCATTTAAATCTTAAATATTCACTTTGTGCCTGAAAGATGGACGAGGTCAGTACGACATCACTCGCTGATGAAGATCAGAGCGTCTGGAGTCCTTCTGACGGGATCAAAACCTCCAACAGGAGCATCATGCTTCATCCAATCAGACGTCAGAGGAGAGGCTACACTGTAAAACATGACTGGCAAACATTACAGTAATACTGAGGAAATTTACAGGAAAAATATAGACTCAATACAATGTTACAGTAGTATAAATGCAGTCATATCCTGTCATTTATTTACAGTAACAGTGCTGCAAATTCAATTACTGCACAGTTACTGTAAAGTTTACTGAAGCCCACTGTGATCTT